CGATAAAAGACGCCGACGTCTCCTCTGATGATGAGCGCTAGTGTCGTGGTAGCAACATGCTATGTGTTTACATCCATCGCTGCCATGTTTGTAATGACTTATCATGAGAACAAACGTATTCACGAGACTTTAAGAACATTTATTACTTAATGGAAACACTGCAGCTGTGAAACTGTGTTTTTAACATTAACAGAATATCAACAAAGTTTTGTGCACATTTGTAATGGAAACACAACTACACATGCAGAGGGCTGACATTTTTGGGGCATCCAGGGAGCAGCTGAGTGGTTAAGTGCCTTGCTCAAGGGCCCAGGGTGGGACTGGTTGATCTGAGGAGTTGAACTAGCAATCTCCTGATCACATGCTGACTTTCTGTAACGTCTGTTTGTTGGTTAAAAACAAAGTGTTTTCCTCCTTGTCTTTGTTTTAATCTAAACGGAGGCAGCCACAGCACCAGCATGCACCGTAGATCTGCACATGGATCCTGCTCCTTCCTGTCTGTTGACCAATAGGAGAGAGCTGACCCAGGAAGGACCGCCCACCTTAGTTACATAATGAGGTAGAAATTAGGGATGCAAGTTATCGATTAATGGATTAATCTAAAGTTGACTGATCTTATGGATCGACTAACGATTAATTGATAAACAGCCATTTTCATAAAAACCTGACATTTCTCTTGAATCAAGAGTCGTTTTATAACACGAAGGGCTAATTCTGTACACTAAATAAAACGTACTGTATTTTAACAATTCATTGTGCCAGCTGTGTGAGTAAACACTGACTGAATGAACAGAAAAATGTGGATTTATCTCACATTATTAAACTTGGACACATTTATAAAATATAACAAAACAAGAATCTGTTCAGTTGCTAGTTGAAAATAAAATAAGTAAAACACTTAATCCATCCTGAAGATGAAAAACTAATTTAAACACAGGGTAACATTTTAAGATAAAATCAAAAACAATCTAAGAACATAATAAAATATCTCTGAAAGATGTGAGATACAAATGAGTAGTGGCAATAGTTTGTTTGTTTGTTTGTTTGTTTGTTTGTTTGTTTGTTTGTTTGTTTACACTCCATCTTAGCTGGTCTGCTGGACATGTCATGATCTGACATCAGTTATTATTCATTAGATTGGTTCACTGGCCGGATTATGTCACACAGATTAGATTAACTTCATATTTTTAACGACTGTAATGTTTTTGTTTTGTTTGTTTGTTTGTTTGTTTGTTTGTTTGTTTGTTTGTTTGTTTCACACGGAGTTAAACTCAACGAGAGGAAGCTAACGTTATCCACAGTTAGCTCACAGTTCTGTCGTCCTGCTCTCTTGTTTTAAGCGACATACTGCTGGATGGTCCGGTACAGCCTTCAGTAGTTTTCCTTCAGGTTTGGTGTAGTCCATTATTGTTATTATTATTGTTGTTGTGTCACAAATAAAACTAAATAAGACTGCGTGTTTGTGGTCCCGCCCACATTACTGAGACTGGGCCGTAGAGCAGCAGCACCCTCTGCACCGAAATAAGGTTTAAACAGATGTTTTCAATTAATCTAATGGAAGAAACTTTAATCTAATAAACCATCAATCGACAATTAATCGTAAATCGATTAATTGTTTGCATCCCTAGTAGAAATGCGTGAGGTAAAGTACAAACAGGAGACAGAAAAATGTAAAAGTAACACATGGAAATAAAAAGACTTGTGGGAAACAACTAAAAAATATAACTACAAACATTTAAGAGACACAAATGCATCTACAAGTTAAAATAAAAACAAACTATGTATTTTTAAAAACGATAAAATTTAAATTTTGTGCTAAAATATATAATTTATTGGAACGAAGCTGGAAAAATGAAGGTCAGTTCAGTTATATAACATGAGGTAAAGTTTTTTTATTTAACTGGTGTATTTTAAGTGTATTTATTCATTGTTCCATTTATATTTTTCTGTTTTTATTTGTAATTATGTCCGTTTCAGTGTTTAGGGTGGTCGTCCTCCAATGAGACAGTTGGGATTTGATTCTCGCACTATTCTGCCACATGCCCAAGTGTCCCTGAGCAAGGCACTGAGCCCTACAGCCTCTGATGTGTCCCATCAGTGTGTGGATGTATGTTAAGCCCTGATTAATCTCAATATAGAGATACAGTAGAGTGCTGTGAATAAGTGTGACATAAATGATTTTAGTCTAAAACTTTAAAATGAAACACTGAAGGAAATTCATTCTGTTTAACCCTGATCCTTAAACACACTACACATTCTGTTTTTGTTGTGAGATCTGGACTAACTTTTATAATCTAAATGTGTAACTGCATATCTTTATGTGCCATGATTTATGATGTGCAGTGTGTCCAGAATGGTCCAGTCCCAGGTCATCTGGCACACAGTGTAGTTAAAAACAGATATATTAGTTAACACATGGCTGTAACCAGACAACCGAACAATATATGGTTCATAGACTGATGCACAACGGGTCTGACCACAGTCCATGTCACATGTCCTGGGTCGTAGCCAGACCTGAAGGACAAAGGATAAAATGTCTGGTTTGTTTTGATTTGGGACCAAAATAATCCAAGACTAAATATAGGTCTGTATTTTGGTCCAGCTGAGGTATTACTCTTTTATAATTAAATGTTCAAGTCTAAATCTGAATTTGTCTCAGAGTCTGCCCTTGTCCTCAATGAAAATATGTTTATTTCTTAGGAAATATTAAGCCTTTTAAATGATCTGCAGTTAAAATTAAAAATATAAAAATAAAGCAGAATAAAGTCGATGTAAAAATTGTAGCCCTTACCTTCCTACACAGCTCCGCTCAATTCTAGTTTCCTTCTGTGCTCGTCTGGGTTTTCTCCCACAGACAAGGATTTCTTCAGGAGAATTTTGTCCGGACCAATCAGAGAGCAGAACATTGATGTTCTGTGCAGTGTCTGTTTGTAGTTTATTTCACCTGGACCAATCAGAGAACAGAAGGAGGAGTTTTGAACTCATTTACAGTCGTCTCGTTCAGTTCAGTAGGGGAGACCGGGGACAGTTGCAACACTTGTTACATTTGACTCTGTTCCTCAGAGATGGTTTGAATTAGACAAACCAGATTTTAATACAATAAACTAACATCTGTCTGTTAATAGTCAAAACCATTTATAGATGATTAAAACATGTACTTTCTTCACTATTTGTATTTGAAAATGAAAAGTCAGATGTTACAACTGACCCCGGGGCCGGGGACAGTTGTAACATTGTTTGGGGGTGGTTACAACATATTATTAATACAATATATTTCACTGTAAATAAAAGTTTTATTATTTTTATATGTATATTAATGTTAAATTAACAAAAAGTGTGTTATGATATTACAGTGTTATTTATTTATTCTTTTTGATCAAATGATGAATATAGATTAGCCTTGATGAGTAG